TGGGCCTGAAAGTTGGGTGGGGTGGGGTGTGGCGGGGCCTCAGGGAGTGGGGCGGGGCCTCAGGGAGTCACCAGGGCGGGGCTACCAGTGTGAACCAGGTTGCTGGAGTCCCAGATATGGTTGCTGTCTGCCGCCCCAGGGAAGGGCTCACCAAAGGAACAAAGGCCTCTGACAGCACATTTGTCCCCGAGAAAGCCCCCTCTCCAGCCCTCACTCCAGTGCCAAACAGCTCAGTTCTTCCCTGTATGTGTCTGGTGCCCCTCGAGCTGCCTCCCCTCCAAGCTGAGAGGGAGAGAGTCCGATAAGTCCGTGCGCGGGCCCTTTAAGGAGCTGCCTGGGGCTCCAGCCGTTTCAGCTTCCCTGAGCCTCAGTTCCCCTTGGTTTTTCCAGCCAGAAGTGATGGGGACTCTCTTCCTGGCACTGGGACCATGAACGGGGTGCCTGGTGTGGGATGGGGACCCCTCAGTCCTCAGGAAGGACCTTGCCAGCCGAGGTGTCCCTCCTGATTTTTATCTGCCACACGTGGGTGTGGGACCCGACCGTCTTGCCACCAGCCCTCAGGCCTCCGCCCCTCCTACCAGTCTGGATGTGGCTGCTGCTTTAATTCCGTAGTTGTACGGCTTCCATTCAGCTTGATTTCAGGCAGTTTTGGATGATGGTTGTTCTGTAGTTTAGCTGTAACTTTGATGTGGTTGTGGGAGGACGCGATACCGCGTTTACCTACGCCGCCATCTTGACTGGAAGTCCTTGTTATTTACATTTAAACTATTGTTTTTTCAAGTTCTCGCTCCCAACCATTTCCCCCTAAATGTATTTGTCCTAATCTCTTCCATTACACTTGGTATAAAGTCAGTCTCTCTCTGTCATCACTCTGGCCTTTGAATGGTACAAGGGAATGTTTTAAAATTTCTTTTCTCTTTGTCCAAGTCTTTGCCTCTAATAATAATGATAATTAGCAGTGGGATGGTTAAAAATAATGACCATGGCTTGCTATCAATATTATCTATTGAGTACTTATCTTGTGCTAGACATTGTTAAAAGTACTTTACATACATTAATTCATTTAATTCACATTATAGTCAAATGGAATATGTACCTTTATTATCTTGTGTATAGTTAAGGAAACAGAGGAAAAGAAAAGTAACTTGTCAGAGGTTACATATTAGATGATTGTAAATCCAGGATTTAAACCCGGTGGACTCTACCCCCTGCATTATCTTGCTCCTTGAAAGCTGGGTTGTAGTGGAAACTAGACACAATTGTCCTGGATTAACCCACATTTTTCATCAGTACCAGACAGCTTTCAGAATAATTTTTTAAAATATTAGGGACTGAGATTAGGGAGGCAGAGCCAAAATAAATTTGAGGATTGCACAATTGTTTTGTGAATTTACAAGCTTGATAAAGTCAGTCTGGATAATTAAGTCATGGTCTTTTTTGTCCTTGATTGTGTAAGTTTTTACTAAGAAAGTGAGCAATAATAAAGCCATGATTAATGTTTCTGAGAGTCAAACATTCATCTTGTGGTTATGTTTGCATATTTTACCTCTGCTTATGAAGACCAGGCTAATAGTTTTGTGATTTTTATTTTCAATAAGCAGAAAAAAGCTATTAATTTACTAACTATGGTTTCTTATATGTAGCTATGCATAGTTCATACAATAATATATAAAATCTCAGGCTATTTTATTTTGCTTAGTAGGAAACTATGAACAGTGAGATTTCTTATGCAAAAATGAATAATCTAAATATGCTGGTTCCATATGCCTTTGTTAGCATTCCAGAGAGAATTATTCTTTCAACCTGAATTGACTTCTGCAAGTTAGCTTTTCAGGAAAGGTAGTTTTCTAATCTGTGGAGCTTGGAAATATAAAAAAATAAGCAATTTCTCATATTCATTAATCAGATCCCAACTTTCTTAAAAATTCACCTTAAAGGTAGATTCCACGAAGGACTATTTCTCAGACTTTAGAGTACATGTAGGTAGGAATCACCCTGAATCTAATAAAAAATATAGGTTCCTAGGCCCTGTCCTTAGAGACCAAATCACTCCTCAGGTGATTCTGATGCAGATGTCCTCAAGGAACCAGAATAGGATGGAGGAGGGGGAGCGGAGTAGGGAGTCCAGAAACTTAGTACACTGGGGACCCAGGCACACAAGTTCAAGAGAGCAGATGACCTTTCATCAGCACTGTTCAGGGAGCTGTCTGAAGTCTGGCCTCCATGCAACAGAAGACTTCAGCCCTTTGGTAATAGAATACTATTCAAATCCACCTTGCAACTGTGGTGAGAACCCCTGCTCTCCTGTGCAAGTGTATTTTCCAGGTTTAGGGGAGGAGGAAGTCAGTCTGCGGATGACCAAGGGCTCACTGTGAGCATTAGTGGGGCTAGGTCAGGAGGCAAAGTTGGAGAGGGAGAGACATCTAGGTCTTCCCATGTTGTCATAGTATTAAGGACTGAGTTTTCGGCCTGAAAGCTGTACACTAAGCGGGGGAAATGGATTTATTGCAAAGTGGGAAATGTGTTGTGCAGGGTTCAATTAGGAGAAATTATCATCTTCTTTTTGGAGGAATTCTATGAGAACTGCTGAGCTCCTAAGGATCTGCTGACACTTGGCCTGGAGGTGGGAAGAACTGTGCATGACTCAAGGGGTGGAATTATTTTGTTCATGAGAGAGGAGCAGGAAAAAAGCCAACAAGAATAGGCTGTACGTGGAAGAAGGGCCAAAGAAAGCCCCCACCCCACCCTGCTGAAGATAGTGAGCAGAAAGGCAAAAAGAATGTCTAAGGAGGATTCCAGGGGATTTCTGTGATATGTGTGCTGTAAACCTATTTCTCTGTCTCAGATGGAGAAGTATGAAGTAATTCTGTGTATCTTACCAAAGTTTCTTCCCTGGGGAGAGCCTCAATAGGAAAATATAATGGCAGCAATTTCCTGAGTTCCATGTGCTTTAAACATGTTCTTAGATTCAGTAAAGTCATTTGTTTCCCACCTATGTGAACCATGCTACAATTTTTCAAATATATACTCTGTAGATGTTGTGAATGATAAAATACAAAAAAAAAAAAAATTCAAAAAACTTCCTGAATTCACAGTAGATTTAAAAATTTTTTTCTTTCAAAAAATATTTCCAATTGATTTTTAGAGAGAGAGAAACATCAATGTGAGAGGGCAACATTGATTGGCTGCCTCCTGCATGTCCCCACCAGGGATCGAGCCCGAAACCCAGGCATGTGCCCCAACTGGGCATCACTCCCAGGGGTTGCTGGAAATTGAACCAGCAACCCCTCAGTGCAAGGAATGATGTCCAATCAACTGAGCCACACTGGCCAGAGCTAAATTTTTTCATTTACAAATTAAAGTTGATATACAATATTATATTAGTTTTAGTTGTACAACCCTGTGATTAGACAGTTACATAAAATTTATATAATTTATGCAGTGACCACCCTGATAAATCTAATACATATCTGATACCATATATAGTTACTTCACTATTATTGACTATATTCCCTATGCTGTACTTTACATCCCATGCGGGCCCTTTAATAGGAACGCCTGGGACTCTAGAAACCCTCCTTCTCACTCAGCCACAATCCCCACTGGTTTTCATGGCCAGAGGTATGGGGACATCTCTTCCCAGTGCTGGCACCCTAGGCTGGGACCCCTCACTCTTCAGGGGGACCTCTGCAACCAAGAGACCCCTCTAGATTTTTAACCACGTTCTACTCTCTGCCCCTCCCCCACTCCTACCGGTCTCCATGTGGCTTCTTTTTTTTTTCTATTTACTAATTTTGAGGGAAAGAGAGAGAGAGAGAAACATCATTTTATTGTTTGTGTATGCATTCATCAGTTGCTTCTTATATGTGCCCTGACCAGAGATTGAACCCACAACCTTGACATATTGGCACAATGCTCTATGAGCTACCTGGCCAGGGCCATGTGGCTTCTTCTTTATCTCCATGGTTATAGGATTTCTTTTCAGCTAGGTTTCAGGCCATTCTGAATGATGATTGTTCTGTAGTTTAGTTGTAATTTTGATGTGGCTGTGGGAGATTCTGTGTACTGCATTTACCTACACTGCCATCATGACCAGACCCCACAATAGATTCTGATGGTGGATTTTCTCAACCACTTTTGTGGTTGGGTCTGAGGAATTTTTTACTTTAAAAATGAGTTCCTTCCTGGACAGTGTGACTCCGTGGTTGAGTATCGACCCATGTACCAAAAGGTTGCCAGTTTAATTCCCAGTCAGGACACATGCCCAGGTTATGGGCCCGATCCCTAGTTGGGGGCATGCAGGAGGCGGCCAATCAATGTTCTCTCTTATTGATATTTCTATCTCTCTCTCCCTTCCTTCCTTTCTCTCTAAAATCAATAAAGAAAAAAAATTGAGCCCTGGTTGGATTTTCTCAGTGGTTAGAGCATCGGCCTATGGACCAGAGGTCCCGGGATCTGTTTCCACTAAGGGCACATAACTTTGGTTGCAGTTTGTCCCCGGCCTTGGTTGGGGTCGTATGGGTGACAACCACTCGATGTGTCTCTCTCACATCGATGTTTCTCTCTCTCTTTCCCCCCTCTTTTGTTCCTGCTCTATCTGAAGATGAATGCAAAAATGTCCTCAGGTGAGAATTAAAAAAAAAAAATTAAAAAAGATAAGAAGTTCTTCATAGTTAAAAAGGGTAGAAACCACTGATCTGAAGAATCATAGTGATGTCTTCAATTTGACTAGAAAAGACTCCTCACCTAGTGCAAAACACTGTGCAGGGACTCTTTATTGTGTTGTTTATGATGGATTTAATAAAAGAGTAAAGGTAAACTGCATTTTGGTTTGACTTTAGCACAGTATTAACACTGCATAAATATAGAGGGATATCTATAAAGTATACATACTTAAAACCACCATATTATTTAACTTTGTAATATAGTGTGAGAAGTCTATCTGTTGCTCAGTGAGAACATGCAGATCCAGAAACAATGATTCCATTTCCTTTCCCCAGGTTCTGTTGTGTGGTCTACTTGTTACATGTCCTCAGGATCCACTGAAGTATTTAGAGGAAATGATCATCACTATAATGAAAAGTGGCCTCAAAAGTCTTCTATGGTGAGTATTATTTTGATGTGTGGTAGGGAGATATTTTTAAGGTAAAAAGTTCAGTTTGTAGTATCAAAAAAGGTTTTTCTAATGAACGCTTCTAATCTCAAGATTGTTAAAAGAATCTTTCCACAGGCTTTTAAGTCTGTAAGACTTTGATAGGAATAATTTGCCCACTGGTTCTCAACTTGAGAAATATTTATAGTGTGTTCATCAATGCTGTGTGCTCTAGAGCAGTTTATTTCAAGTTGGACATGAGGTAAGGGTGGCATGCCTTCTCGATGAATACTGCAAAATCTTCAGGGGGGATAGTTTGAAAAAGTCTTCCTGGTGATTCTGACATGCTTCTCCCAAGGGACATGTCTCTTCCTTCCCCTCCCTTACACTCCATCCAAAGAACTGCTCATTTAATTATGGAACTAACTACTATACAATGAAATTATTTTTTGAATGTGTTTTATGATTTTATTAAAGGGATATGTGTATTGATCCATCAATGAAACCCAAAATTCGGAGATTATCTGAAACTTACTTGGAACAACTTTTTGGATTGGATGATCAGCTGGTAAGGAATTAGTAATCAAGCATTCTAAAATATATATTTTTAAGTTTTCATAGAAGTTCTCAAATACAATTTAGATTTTATGAGCGGTCTGAGAGCAGACTGATTTTGCAGTTGGGGGCACTCCCAAAAGCAATGGGACATCACACACACACACACACACACACACACACACACAGCCACACTCGTAGTGCCCCTCAATGTCCAAGAAGCATTGAGACAGGCTTTTATTCTTCCTCTTTAAGATAAAAATCTTTATATTAAATTCCCCTTTTCCCCATTTCTCCTTTCTCTCTTTTCTTGCATCTTTATAATGATAAAAATAGCATGATGGAAAGCTTTAAAGGAGGATATTTTTTTTCCTTCTTAATCTACTTCCTTCTGTATTCCATCCCCCTTCATTCTCTCTGCCATATGCTTGGGAATTATGCTCATAAAGATATGGCCAAAACATTAATGAGATCTAAGTTAAAAGCCAGGCCAATTGTTAATGAAAGGAACAACCAGCTCCAACAGCTGTTTTTGATCCTGTAAGGAGGACAAGGAAGTAATTCAGGATGTGGATGCTTTCAGAACAAAGGCTATGCTTCTAAAATAGCAGAAGGCACGTGGGGAGAGAAATACTGACACAACTTATTTATTTATTTTTAATCCTCACCCGAGGTCACTCTTTGCATTTATCCTCAGATAGAGCAGGAGGGAGCAAGGGAGGAAGGGAGAGAGAGAGACATCGATGTGAGAGAGATACATGGACTGGTTGCCACCTGCACAACCCCAACTGGGGCCAGGGATGAACTGCAACCGAGGCAGTGCCCTTAGTGGGAACTGAACCGGGGACTCTGGTCCATGGGCCGACACTCTAACCACTGAGCCAAACCTGCCAGGGCTACTGACACAAATTAGATAAATGCGGGACTGTGTGTGATACATCAAGATCCCAGGTTGATGTCTCAGTAAGCATAAGCAGGACTGGGGAGTCGCTGGTGAAGTTGAGCACTGATAAGTGGAATGAAAGCCACAGTCAAGGGGGTTGCCAAGAGCTAGGAACATCTGAAATATCGTATAGAAGGATGGGTGGAGAGTAACACTGGGTCCTAATCAGTGGTCTGCAACAGAGAGACAAAAATAGAGGGATGGGATATTTCTGCCAAGGCTGGGGTGATTCTGAGGCACTGATACACTGGGAAGAACCCGCATGTCTTGATCTTCATTGATCTGCATCATGGTGTGTGGTCTCTTAATGACTTGATTATATGAACCACAGACCTCTGATCTATTGTGAAGTGCAGATATCTGCAAACCAAGTTCCTGGAGATATTTGGGGGCAACCTCAGGAGCTGAGGGGAAGAACCAGGGGATGGGATTCTAGGTCTCCCATCCTCATCCCTTACACACTAGAATAATTCTGCTTTAAGTATAATGTCACTTGAAAAAAGCTTGAAAACCATTGCTTATGAGATATTAAAATTGTTAAAAACTACTGATCTAGAGGGATAAACCTCATTGTCAGTATTTTGAAAGCAATTTTATAAAATGCTATTAGATTGTATCCAATGTCTAGATAAAAGCCTATAGAGAATTTTTAAAAACTCACAGAATTCCAACAGATACCATTGCTACTTCAAACATAGATTTTTATTAGAAAGGAATTCTCAGAACTCTTTTATGATGCTGAAAACACAAAGAATAAAATGTTGGAAGCTGATCTTGACTTAGAAAGGAGTATGAGAATTTACCAAGACAGGAATGATGCCCACTTCATGTCATTAGTTAAGAAAAATAGAGACTAGACGTGACTTTGCAAAAATGTAAATCTCCAGGTGCCTTGGACTGCTTATTTCGAGGGCTTAACCTAGGTTGGATATAGATTAATTCATTTCTTCTTCACCCTCAGTGAAAATTGAAAAATTGCTTTTGTAATTTATTTTTTTTACAAAGAATTAAGACACTAATTTGCAATGTTTCAAATATTTTAAATTACATATACTAAATAAATATTAGCCTTTCTTTCCTAATTTTTCTCTTTCATACGGTAATAACTGGCAATAAGAGAATTTTGAATGTTTTGAAAAAACATTTTAAAGGCCACAAACAATTGTAATTTTTTCCATTGATTATTAATATTGCTTTGCATGATTTCAGCATGCAGTCATTTTTCTGGTCTCACACAACGCAGTCCTACATAGCAAGGGCTGCCTGTATGTGCCTATTTATAAATACATATTTGTTTCTATTTATGCAAACAGAAGATTTACTACAGGAAACTGTAAGTCAAATAGTTATAAATAGGAAATGTTCTCATAACAGTAAATATATAGTTTAACTGTGTTTTCCAAGATAAAAGAATCAACCATTATAAGGAGGAAACTAACTTCACAGGCTTGATTCTCATTTCTTAGGAAATGAAATCTCCAGATGGGCCTACTAATTACAAGAAGAAAAGGCATCTATAACAAAAAAAATCTTTAACACAAAGTAGAGAGAATGCCATAATAATCTCCCATCATACAGCTTAAACAATAATCAACATTTTGCCATTCTTGTTAATTATTTTCTCTTTACTCTTTTTCGCTGGAGTATTAGAAAGCAAAAACCAGGAATTGTATTATTTTACCACTAAATACTTCAGTGTGCGTCTCTAACAGGAAATGAAATTTTTAGAGAATGTACTACAGTGCCATTGTCTACATAATGAAATTGGCAATAATTTCTGAATAGATTATATTCAGATATATAAATTCCATATTCAGGTTTCCCAAATTGTTTAAAAAATGCCTTTTTACTTATGGTTCTATGTTGAAATACATACAGGGTCACATACTGGTTTGGCTGTTATATATCTAATGTCTCATGTAACCTACAATAGTTCTCCTTTCTTATTTTTTCCCATGTCATTTATTAAAGAAAACACATCATTTGTCATGTAAAATGTCCCAGTTTCTCATTGTTTCCTCTGGCATCATTTCATTTGTTCTGTTTCTTGTATTTTCTGCAAATTGTAGTTAGAACTACAAACTAAATAATCAGGTTATTATTTTTCCTCTTGGTGACAAGAACACTGCAGGGGGGTACTATGTTCTTCCTAGTGCGTCAAATGAGGAGGTACCCGTGGTCTGCCTGACCCACTTTAAAAAAAATTTTTTTTAAATTTAATTAATTTATTTTTTGTTAATCCTCACCCAAGGATATTTTCCCATTGATTTTTAGGTAGAGTGGAAGAGAGAGGGAGAGAGAGCAAAACATCTCTGTGAGAGAGACACATCGATTGGTTGCCTCCCACATGACCACAACCGAGGCTGGGGATTGAACCTGCAACCCAAGTAAGTGCCCTTGACGGGAATTGAACCTGAGACCCTTGGGTCAGAGGGCCAATGCTTTAACAGCTGTGCCAAAGTGGTCAGGGCTGGCTCACCCACTTTTAATGAATCTTTGATACCCAACAGACATTAATATAATACTTATTTAGTTCTGTCCTTCAGTGCACTTACAATGGTTTCAGAATAACAGTACCACAAGACCACTTACAATAAAACTATTGCACTTCAAGAAAATCATGCAATTCTTTTTGCCTTTAAGATGTATATTTTCCTGCTTGGCAGGTTCATACATGTGCCATCCATATAACATGAAGCAGGAGAGCATCCTGGACTACATGGCCGTTTTCATCCAGGCCGAGAGCCCCCTGGAGCCTTCCCTATCCAATCTGTAGCATTCCCACTCTCTCTTTTTCTTTGTGTCCTCCTGGTACCCTCCCCAGGGCCTCCTAAAAAAGGACAAGTGTGGGTTATAAAACAAAAAGCAACAAACAAACAAAAAATAGATACAGACAATAGAATGGTGGTTACCTGAGGGGAAGTGGGTAGGGAGAGGACAAAGAAGGTAAAGTGGGTCAAATATATGGTAACAGGAGGAAACTAGACTTTGAGTGGTGAGGGCACAATTGAGTACACAGATGTATTATAATGATGTACACCTAAAATTTATGTAATGTGATTAACCAATGTTATCCCAATAAATTCAGTAGAAATTAATTTTTAAAAATGGCAAAAAAATGTATATTTCCTACTAGATATTTTCAGTAAAAAAAAATACATTTTTTTGTTATCTAAATTAATTCTTATGTTTTATATCAATGGTCACCATTTTCCCCCTTTCAATTATGTACAACATTACATGACAGCAAATTTAAAACAATAAAATGAGGGGTATCCAGAGAAATATGGCTTGCATTTCTGCCTCTTTATCCTTCCTTTCTCTAGGTAACCAATTTTAGTAGTTTTCAGTTCATCTCCATTGTTTCTTTTTGAAAAATACTAGCAAATACACTGTATTCTCCTCCCCTACTGCTTCTTATACAGAAGTAGCAGACTGTATGTAGTCTTCTGCTTCTTGCCTTTCTCATTCAGTATGTCCAAGAGATCATTCCCTTATGCAACTTTTAAAATAATGTTATCACAGGGAGCATTGTGTAACGAAACCCTAAAATAAAAATGAAAAATGTGGACTTAAAAGGTCTTACTGATGTAACAAACAAAGTTTGACTATGACAAGGAAAATTACCATGCCAGGGGCTGGGGTTTTATCATTTGGAAGAGGCAGACAAATCCTGTGCCCCAAACAAGAATCAACTGGTTGATAACCACATCCAATATCCTTGCTGGTTTGCAAAAGTATTCCTTGTCTTTTGAGATTGGGTAGAGTATTGTTTCCTGAGAAGGCATCAACGTAAGTATTATGTAACCTGGAAGGAATGAAGATGAAGTGTAGAAATAATGAAGATATGAACTAGACTCGTGCTGTTTACTTTAGGTGTAAAGTAAGCAATAATAGTTAATGATATGGAACTTATGTATGTTCATCTGCTATGTGTGGCATTTGAAAGTTCTAAAAACATATACGTTTTTAATTTACTTTATTTTTATTTTATTTATTTTTTTGTTACAGATATTTTACCTTTTTTACCCCATTGGCACCCCCCTCCCCACCCCACCCCCGCCCCGTCC